AAGTAAATCCTGAGAGTTCTCATTTCATGATCACTAAACTTATTGTGCTAATCATTTCGTGGTGAATGTAGCTCGAATCATTGTGCTGTACACCTTAGAGTCATACAGTGCTGTAACTCAATAAAACTAAGGCAGAAAAATAAAAAAGATGGTAAAGGAAAGGGAGGGAGTGTGGCCTGGTGTAAATGAGATGTCAGCAAGGACTGTTTGGGACAGCTTCATCAGGAAGCACAGAGCATCTGGGTTCTTTATTTCTGCCAAAGCTACGCCTACCTTGGGGATGCCCCTCCTCACTTATCATCTGTTCGAATGTGCTTTGTCTTATACATGCCCCTTGCACATAACGGGCCTTTGATAAATGTTTCTTGAATGAGTGATGAAGGACAGGAAATCCCAAACTCACAGGGTCCCAAACCCAAACCCTAACCATGGCACGCGCAGGGGCTCAGGCTCGCAGGGCACATCCGGTACCTGAGCTCCCTTTCCTTTCGGTATTTTCCAGTTCTCTCCACCCTGAAATTTCCATACTTGCAAAAAATGCCCTTTGAAATGCAGCTGAAGCCAGAGATTCTTCTCAGTCCCAGGAGGGCTCCCCACCCAGCTCTCCCCTCACCACCAACAGCCTTTGCCAGACTGTCACCAGGAAGCAACACTGAGCCTCAGTCTAGCCAAGTCTGTACTCACCATGCTCTGGATTATGGAAGCCCAAAGTAGCACTAAAATAAGACATTTTTATAACTGAGAGGAAAGTTGAGAGGAGAAACCAGAATGATTGCCAACACAGCCTGCTCTCCTGTTGGCACTGTTCAACATCACACCTTGTTGAACATTGCTTTTTTTTTTAATTGAAGTATAGTTGATTTACAATGTTGTGTTAGTTTCAGGTGTACAGCAAAGTGTTTCAGTCTATATATATATATATATATATATATATATATATATACACACCCACCCACACGCACATATATATATAGTTCACTGAGCTATATGGTAAGCCCTTGTGAATGTCACTTTTTAAAATACAGTACAACATCTGTAATTCATGGGTGGCTATGCTAGTTCCACGGGGTTGTTTGTGCAAAGGTCAGATGATGTCATTGCTCTGGAAGCCTTGGGCGGGAGGAGCGACACTTGGACTAACTTCAGCCAGTGAATTCACAGCACCAAGGCCTCATAATTGAGAGGTCACTGTCCACCCTGTGATGTGATTTGTAAGAATGAGAGCATTCTCTCATCCATGCAGGACCTGAGACAACTTTTTGATTTTTTTTAATTGACATTTGTGTCTGTTTCCCTTTTGCCATGGAAAAAAATTGAGTCCAAAGGAATGTCTCCTTTTTGGAAAATAATTCTAAATGATTCTGTTTACAGAATTGTAGCACAGCATTGAAAAAAAGTCAAACAAACAAACAAAACTTGACCTTAGTAAGACATAAATCTTCCAGTACCTACCCAGGACATCAGATCTTACTGTTTTCAACAGACTGATTACAAAATTAGCAGGGAGAAATCAGCAAGCAGTTCCCTTCAGACGTAATGACAGCATGAACTTCTGATTAAAATGTGTAATATTTCAGACAGGACTGCATATTATTTTAGATATAATTACATGATACATGTGATTGTGTAATAATGACGCAGTTTTATAATGGATGTCTCTGTGTCAATTTAGTAGGTATGTATTGTCATATGTAATGCATTATGCTGGCAGAGGAATGTGTAATAGAAGATTGATACACAAAACAAGTTTTTTCAAGAAGTTTATGCTCTGAGAAGAAAGGTTAAAATAAATGTCCAACATGTATGATTGAAATATTATGCTGTACACCAGAAATTGACACATTGTAAACTGACTATACTTCAATAAAAAATGCAAAAAATTCCAAATAATACAAGGCAGATTGTATTAAGATAATAAGGAAGGAACAAACTGCTATTGGATTCCAAGGAGGGAGAGATGACATCAAGCTGGAGGGGACAAAGAAAATCTCAGGGAAGATTGAGCAGGGTATGCAGATTAGGCAAGACAAGTTGACTGTTAGGTGAGCTTAGGAGATGAATCTGGAACCACAAGGTGGGACCAGGCTGAGTACCTGAAATCACTTTAGCTCCCAATTTTGAAGCAGACATGATATGTATATTTTTAAAAACATTTTGTTAGTTTCCATGGGCTGCCATAACAAAGTATCACAAACTGGGTGGTTTAAACATTTATTCTCTCCCAGTCCTGGAGGTTGGAACTCTTGAGATTCAGATGTGGACAGCAGGGGTTCCTTCTGAGGACCAGGAGGGAGACTCTGGTCCACGCCACCCCGCTAGCTTTTTCAGGGTTTTCTGGCAATGTTTTGCATAACTCAGCCTGTAGATGCATCACCCCAATTTCTGTCTTCGTGTTCACGTGACATTCTTCCTGTATGCATGTCTGTGTCCAAACTTCCCTCTCATAAAGACATCAGTCAGATTCGGGCTCACCTTAATGATCTCATTTTACCTTGATGACCTCTGTAAAGAACCGATCTCCAAACAGTCATATTCTGAGGTACTGAGGCTTAGGAATACATGTATCTTTGGAAGACAAACAATTCAATCACAGCAGCTACATACACACACAGTTTCACAGAGCAAGGGCTTTTAAAAATGATGCTGAGGAGTTGAGAGTCTGGTGTTTATCCTGGAATCAGGTCATGGAATAGAATAGAAAATATATAAAAATAAATGTTCTAGCTCAGTTGCCTATCACATAGTTTACTGATTTCTCTGGCAGTCTATCTGCCTTCTCTCAGTCTGAAAATGAGCAGGCGTGTGTGAGCATAGGGAAGGTATTAATAACGTTTCTCATTTGTGTTACACACTATAGTTTACAAAGTATTTCTCACACTTCATCTCATGTGACCTTCACAATAATTCTATTAGCTAAGCAGGGCAGATATTAACTACTAATATATAGACAAGTGACTTAAGTTTCAGAGAGGTTCCACAAAATACTTGAGGTCATGCTTTAGGTGAATGGAAAAGATGGCAATAAAATTCAAGTAAAGAAATTATGAGCTTATGATAAACCCAGGATTCAAACCTAAGTCTCCCGAGGCCTATGCTTGGCATAAATTCACCAAGCATTACTGCCTATGGGACAAGTATACTCAAGTCAGTAACATTCATAAATTTGCATTCAGTTCTAGTCAGTATTTAATAAGCCAGAAACTCTGTTAGGTGTTGGTGATATGGAGATTATTAAGCCTAGATAATACACTATTGAGAAGGACATGTACAAAGATTAATTATCTAATTAAGCAATGCAGTGATCTAACAAGAGGCTGTAGGGGGAGAGATCAGCGAGGACACAGAGACGGAACCTTCCATGTGTGGGAGAGGGGACGGGCTATGAACCCCCTCCATTCTTTTCCCTGCTACCAGCTCAGTGCTCTGCAGGCTATGAACACTGACTAAACTGGGAGGCAGTACAGACAGCACAGATAGGGTGCGACCTTTGGAACCACACTGACTGGGTTAGTCCTGGTGCCAGCGCCCACCAGTTGTGACCTTGGGCAAGTTACTTACTCTCTGAGGACCCCGCTTTCTTTCTTGGTAAGACAGGGGTAATTCATAGGACTGCGGCGATGACAGGATGAAATGTAAAGCCCAGATGCTTGATAAATTTTAGCCATTATTCATGAAACTGGCTTTAATTTCAGTGGGCTTAAAAGGATTTCGGTTGATACACGCTGCTCTTATTGCATAATTAGGTATGAACATTTGATATAAAAATTCTAAGAAACTAAGCTTTGGGTGGAAACCAAGAATTGTATCTACTCATTTCTCTTTCATCCTCACCTCCATTCTACGAGGGATAATGAGAATTCCTAAATCCAGTTTTACAGTTTTTGACTAAAGGTTCCAGGGAGTAGATGCCCTGATGATCTTGGCGTTGAGACCCTGTCCACATCCTCTGGGAATTTCATCCCTGTGGTGTGGCTCTTACACGGAACTCCTGTACCGCCCAACCACTGACCCCCAGCGTAGGGTCGGCCTTGTTCACTGGTGGCTTTCACTTGCTTTACTTTGGTTCTGTGGGCACCTACTTGTTTCATGCATAGATCATAAGGTTGGGCAATTATCTGTTGATAGTCTGTTACTAAGTATAAAATATCAAATTAAATCATTAACTTAAAGCATAATTTGTCCCCCAATTTTCTCACAGACGGTTGAAATTAGTAGGAATGTAAGTCAATGGGGAAAATGTGTGGTTTGCCACCTTAATATTGGACTTGCTCTGAAGTGAGTGAGCTTTCATGGAACTCAAGTACTAATTATCTGAACAGTAAATGTATATGGTTCAAGACAGTTCTGAAGAAGCACTTCCTCTACCAGTTACCACATGTTAGAAAGCTCAGCTCATATTCCAGGAAAGCTGCACTTGGCCTCTGAGCGAAGGTTTCCACACTGGGCTTCCTGCCTGACCGGGACACTCTTGCACCAGCAGAGTCCTCTCCGCTGTCCGGCTGCCTACGGCTGCATCCTGGTTTCCAAGAGAAAGGAGTGGGACACGGGGGCTCTACAGCATGTCTTGGATCGCTGTGCCGGGCAAACACACACACACACACACACACAAATCTAGAGCCTTTTAAACTTAGGCCAGCACCAGCTGAAAGCAACCAGAACCCTCTAACCTCTCTGAGACCCAAATTAGCCCTCTAGACTCAAAGGTACCTCCCTCAGAGGTCACTTAACTCCAAACTGCCATGTCTTACTACCAAAAGAGAAAGTGGAGGAGTCCTTTTCTAAATCCTTCTCTCGGTCCAGAATTCCTCACCAGAACTCATCACCAATATATTCTTCACGGTGGTACACCTGACGTGGATCACTGAGAGTCTAAAAGTGGGCTAGGGGTACAGCTCAGCGGTAGAGCGTGTGCTTATGAGCATGTGCGAGGTCCTGGGTTCAATCTCCAGTACCTCCATTAAAAAAAAAACCAAAAAACTTTACAAGAATATAACTTCAAATATGAGTACCACGAGTTATATTTTATTATATAATTATCAGAGGCAAATTACCTGCACTCAGCAATAACTTCTGTAGAGCTGTATTCTCTCATTGAACAAATATACTTCTATTGGAAGATTATGCCTCTTTAATAAATATTACATTCAACAGTACAAAAAAGGAAAAATATATATTTACAAAGAGCAAAGGCAGTGAGGTTGTTTCTCTAGTTCCAGCTGATAGTAAAAAAAAAAAATTAAAAATTGTAAAAATAACTTTTTTGTAGCCAAATCAACTCCCTTCCTAAAACACCAAATAGTCTACAGCCATACCACCCTGAACCCGCCCGATCTTGTCTGAAAACCAAATAAATAAATACATTTAAAATTATCGACTGAGTTAGTACTCCGTAGCTACTAATCTGAAATAACTAGAATTCAGTATCAGAGGCTTGGATTGACAATGCTGTACTTTTTCACTGATTTCTTCATCTGCTTAATTTTCTTCTGTAAGACTTGGTGATCTTGTTTTTTAATATACCGAAAATATCTACAACCTAAAAAAACAAAACAAAGCAAGAGAAACAAAAAGTTTTAATACCTGTTATCAAATTCTTCAAGTACATTTCTACATTTTTAAAGTTTTGCTTCAAGTCCAGCACACTGATGACGGGGAAAATAGACTGATCTGTTATCATCTACACCAATGTGTCTAAGCACGTTCGCAGAGCTGTCACCAAGGAAATGTACTGCTTCTTACATACGAAAATATTTCCGATCCATCACAATGAAGGCATATACTTTGGCTGGTTCTCCACCTTCCCTCCCAAACCTTAGTTCAAGTGCTATGCCTGTTATGTACATCCAAACGTTAAAGGAGTTTTCACCAGAAGCAAATTGCTGTCGCTTCCTTCTCAACGGTAACTTGTACAACAGCCAAAGAGACATCTGTAACAATAAGGAAGTTCTCCGTAGAAAACCCTGATGCGAAGAATTAGAATAAACAAATCATAGGTTAGAAGAGATAAGAGCTATCAAGTCCCTCCCGCCATCTGGCCGGCATCTGGCCAGCATCTGGCCGGGGAGCCTGCAGCTCTGCCAAAGGTGCTCATTAGAGGTTCTACCTGCTTTCCAGAGTTTTATGATGCTAAGGGGATCACGAGATAAACATTTTAGAGACATGAACCAAATTCCTGTAAGAAAAATATCATACTGGATATTATGAAACTTTTTATATTTGATAAACGAGACCATAAATCACGTATGAAAAATTAATTTTATTCCAGTCTCAGTGTGCATATGTCCACCTTCTCTGGGAAATGGCTAGGACATATACCGTACCTCCAGTAACAATTTCATTATCCCTGAAAACAGTATGCCAGAACTGCTAATATTTTATTAGCTGGGAGGCAGTGGTATGTGTGGTATTAAATATAATAATGTGTGTTTCTAAACACATCTACCACTTTAGCAAAATCAAAATAACTCATGCAGAGATTTCTGCTTCTATCTAGAAAAGAGAAAGCTGGAAAGAACTTTGCTCCCACCCTAACACAGAGGAAAAGCCAAATAAACTGCAAACGCCTAGCTTCAAGCCCACCAGAGCTGAAGTCAGAAGAAGTGAGACCATTTCCAGGCCTTTTGTGCCTGATGTTCGCAGAATCCTTTAGAATTTATAGAGCACGCTGATGTGATGTCCGCGTGATGCTTACAGCAATCCCATAAGCAAATGAGAACAGATGTTACAATGTCCATTTCTCACAGAGGGCTCCCGAAGGTTAACTGCTTGACCTAAGTGACATGCAAGTAACGGACAGGATGGGAAAATCCACCCAGGGCTTCAGCCTCTGATCAGACAGGTGCCTTTAGGTATCTGTGCTAGAAACCTCTCTACTCACAAAGTAGAGCCACAGTCCAAATCACAGATCTGTTTCTTGTCATCAGTACAGTAGAGAAATTTTAAAATGACTTACACATCTATCAATCCCTTTCCTCCCACAAAATCAGCATTCTATTAATCTCAGTAACCATCTGGAATACTCACGGAGAACACTAACTCTAGATTAATACAAACATATCTAACCCTGACCTGCAGAATCCCTTTAGGAGACTTTAAACTCCAGCCACACACCGCATAGTTGTGGCCACCGTGAGGGTCACTGTCTTCACCTCTGGACACGTTCTGTGGCTGTCTCATTTCGGTACTGGCTACCTTTTCATATTTCAGTGGTACAAAGCAGGTAAGAGTTTTAACAGCCAAGATATTACCCAAAGAAAAGCTCGATTTCTCCTTAAGAGGAATTTTTAAATAAGTTAATAGGAGGTTTTTTTTTCTTTTCTTAACAAGAGAAAATGCTTCACCCTTACAGGAAGGGGTAAGTAAATACAATATAAAGCTATCATAAAAAATGAGGTCAATAAAGAATATTTTTCTATTTCTACTAAAGTAGACAATCTCAGTAAACTTTCTCCACAGCACAACCAAATGGTCATTTGTTGTGAAAACAGTCTGCATCTTGTATTTTAATAGCGCCTAAAGATACTCAAGTTAGAGCATAAAAACCAAAGACAATCAACAGTGTGAAATCACTGTTTCTAACCCATGGAAATTCCTCACAAGCAGAACACCTGGCCCAGCTCAGTGCTCATTTTTTTACTCAATTAATCATTCTGCCAGCATTTAATATCCTTAGACACTATTCCAGGTAAACTCTAATATGAATGAATGGTCATAATTAGTCATTTCAAAAATCACCTAAAAGCCATGTCCAGAGAAAAAGAAAATAAAACATATACCTTTTCCTAACAATATCCCAGCTACCAAAGCTTTCTCACAAGCCAAAGTTTTATCATCCTTCCAATCACTTTTTGCCCAAAAGTAACTGAAGTGAAACCTTGGCCACCAGTTTTTCCTGGAGTTCCACTCTTCTTGAACCCAGGCAAGATGACTCCTGGAAAAGAAAAACGTCAAAAGGGAAGGTCAATGATGGAGACAGACCTAGATCATCAGAATCTGAACTTAAGTAGGGTCTGTGGACAGATGACAAGGAAGATGTTCTCAAACTAGCTTCCAAAGATGGCCACGGCATAGCACACGCATGGAAGCATATCCTTTCTAGTCCTCGTCGATCTCCATGCCTCATTTTCCATTTAATGAAATAGTTCCGTACCAGACAGTGGTTAACAGCAGACTCTGAGGTCAAAATCTCAGGTTCAAATCTCAGTTCTTCCATTTACTATCTATGTGATCCTGGGAAGCTGCTTAAATCTCTCTGAGCCTCAACTTCCTTAAGGAGACTAATGGTGCCCATCTCATAGCACTGTTACTAGGATTCACCGGTCCACAGTACAGCAGGTGTCATTTAAAGCTCTCTGCATGCTGTCTAGTACCAAGAAAATGTTCAACAAATATTACCCAAAATTATTAATTTATTGCTTAAAAGTTACTTTAAAACCTTACTTTAAATTATATGCTACAAATTACTATCCAAATTAAGATGTCATTATTACATGAAGACATGAACACATAGGTTTGGCAGCTGAACGTAGGCAGTGCTAAGTGTTCATCAATAATTTAATAGAGCAAAGGTTTATTTAGCACCTATTTTCCCCCTGTGGCAGAACTTCTAGAGGTTTAAAAAGTGAACAGCACATTTTTCTGCCTTCAAGAACTTTGTGGTTAGTCAGGGTTTGCATGGCGCTTTAGATTTAGAAAGCGGTTTACAATGAATACATCAACCTAGCACCCTGAGAACATTTTATAATAAAGACTGCTCAACCTTTAAGGTCGTCAGGTCTGAAGCCCGAAGCAAGTTCCCACTGATAATGAATTTCCTAAACAACTAACATGGATATAATAAATCAATTAAACTTAACTTGGTGATACTCTTTATTCTCACACACAAAGTAAAAATGACGAGGCCACTCCTTTTCTTGTACCCAGATGTCTACGATCAGATGTATAGTTTTAGATCTCCATCTCACAAGGGACTTAATAAGCATTTGTTGAATGAATAATCCATGATGATTTTATGAGGCCCTAGAAACCCCACTGAAAATGATGGAAAACAGCTGGGAGAAAAGCTGCTTCTCGTGTGACCTTACATGCTGACGACACAGATCACAAAGAGCTTGACAAAGAGTCTAGTGAAGGGTGTGGGCGACCCCTTCCAGTCCTCAAGTCCGATTAGAAGGCACATGCTTACCCCTCCATGGTGTAGTCAGTGGTCAGGTAAGGTACTTACTGTGAAAGCACAAAAACGCTTGATAAAATTTTTGTACGTTTTACTTGTGACTTTCTATTTCCTGAAGTATTCAGAAGAAAACAGCTGAAGACACAGTTCAAGAAATTCAAAAACATAAAGAACTTTGTTTTAAAGTATTAGCTAAAATACTGGAAAATATTATTCATGCTGATCCAGTAATAAATGCTGTGTGCATCTTACCCCATTAAAGTCTGTCTGAGATACTTTGCCAAATATTTCCAAGCAGTTATGTTTTTAGTGCATCCAGCAAAATCCAAGACTCCAAATAACACCTCCAACCCCAGTTTATGGTGTTCTTCCTTCTCTGCAACAGTCACAAGTAGAGTTTACATAAAGCACTGGAGAGCACAAAGCTAAAAGATTACATTCCACTGATAAAGTATCACTGAAGCATAAGCCTTCTAGTTTGATTAACAGTTGAAAACAATTCATTACGATCATACTCTCCTGTGATGGATCTGAAAAATTCAATAATTTAATCTAATCTATGCTAATGAAGGCAGGGTGCTGAGTCTGATCTCTATTGCACTATTGAGATCATTATTTAAGGCGCCTGCCCCCTTTGGGCATTTGATATACCTTCTCGATTAGGAGAGGAACTGAGGTAGTCCCAGCACCTACTGACCTTAATGTGCAGCTCTACTCCTATGAAGAATCATGTTCTTTTCTATACTAAGCTGAAACCCAGGAAACATTAAAATGAGGTGAATTATACAAATTGAAGCCATTTCTCTTTTGCCAACTCTTGCCTAACATTCTAAAGCAGGGATAGCAAACTTTTCCTGTAAAGAGCCAGACGCTAAAGGTTTAAGTTCTGCAAGCCTTACAGTCCATCACAACTGCACAACTCTGCTGTTAGCACCACAGACAATATGGAAATAAGTGGACATGGCTGTGCTCCAACAGAACTTGGATTTATAAAAACAGGGGAGAGGTGGTTCTGGGCCACGGCCATAGTCTGCTGACCCCTGGTCTACAGCTCATCTGCACAGAGAGATAGAAAACAAAAATGACTTACCTGATTTTCTCAGTAATCTATGGAATTCTAACATCAGTTTATGAGATGGTACAATCTGATACAAAATCTGGAAGAGAGAATAATCTTGTGATTTTTATACATTCAGCTTCCTTTCAAATAAAGCTCTTACTGTCCAATATGTTCTCATCAAATTTAAGGATTTAAAAGATACTTTGCTTTTATCCAGTTTCAATTTGGGTATAGAAAGGTGTTCTATGTAAAGCTATTAAAAAAAAAATCCCTGCTAATAACAAGATAGCTGGGGTGGCCAGGGGAGAGGAGGATAGACAGACACTTCTTGTTTTCTCCATGTATATATTTATGCTGTTTACCACACTTAAAAATTTAATTTCTTTTCAGTAGCCAGGACTTGAAAAAAAAAGAAGAAAAAAGAATCAATATTATGCAGAAAAGATATTTAATATTTATTGATCATAAAAGGTCACAGAATATATAAAACAAAAACCAAAAAAAGGGCAAGGGTGGTTATTTTGGAAGATTGTGTTCAGGAACACAGTACACTAAGAAGTATTCAAGTCAATATTTTCACAATCTTTTTACACAATAGGGAGAAGTTAAAGATTTTTCTTTTTAAAAATAGGAGGGACTATTTTTATGTATATGCCACAAATAGGATTTAAACTTTATCTGTCATCTAAACACATTTAATATTAGAAATAAGTTTATTCATCTGCTTGCTGAAGTACTTTGATCTTCTACTGAAATAATTTCTGACCAAACGAAAAGCAAATTTTGTTAATTTCTCTTAATTTTTTTAAGTTAGTGATCTATCAATCATGATCAATATATCAATATCAGAGTATTATTAAAACTCAGTCCTATGAAGTCACATTTGTTTTATTACTTATGAAATTCTGTATATGGCTCAATTCACTTTTTAAAAAATATTTTATCAAAATAGAACATATGTACTAGAAATGAATACGAATCGTGTGTACCATTCAATAAATTTTACAAGTCATACACATACACATAATCAGCACCCAGATTAAAAAGCAGAGTATTATCAGAACTCTATAAGTCTTTCATCACTTCTGTAAAATTTTTAGCCATTAGCTCATCAAATATTGGCTTTGTCTGTTTGCTTTCGCCCTGTACTCTGTCTCCTCTCCCTGGGCTCCAATTACAAGTAGGTCAGACCTTCCAACAAGTCCTCTGTGCACTCTTTTCCACACTTTTTATCCTGTTTTGCTCTTCCTTCTTTAGCCTGATGGTCTGTGTAATTCCTTAATTCTCTCTTCTGCTGTGGTCAGTCTGCTACTTAAACCCATTTATTGAGTTCTTAATTTCAAATACTGCATTTTTCATTTTCATTTTTAGAATTTCTCTAAATCTACTGTCTTGAAGATATACAAGTATTCAACACAGTAATTTTGTTACATTCTTACAAGTCTTTTCAAAAGCACCAGTAATGATTGACAACCTGCATGAAGTTCACCATTTTGCTTTTGTTGTAACTAGCCTTATTATCTTCTTGCACAAATGGGTAAAAAGAAATCTTGGGGAATAAAATTAAAATAGCAACTTCAAAAGTATTATGCAGTAAAACAAAGCCTGTGGAAAACTTTACGAAATGTAAAGTTTCTATATCTGAAGGTTTGATAATGTCAATTTTGATGACAAGTACAGAGTAGACCTAACTGACCTTTTAAAAGAAGACTGATAGAAAAGGAGTTTTCTCAGTCATTTGTTTAGAAAGAAAAGGACTTTTCTTTTTCTTATTCCTCTAAAATATGACTAGAAACCAACCATGAAATATATAAGGAACTCTTAAATTCAACAACACAAAATCAAAACACTCAGTTCAAAAAGGGCAAATGATACAGACATTTCTCCAAAGAAGATACACAAATAACCAATAAGCACATGAAAAGATGCTCAGCATCACCAGCTGTTAGGAAAATGCAAATCAAAATAAAAATGATACCACTTCACACATACAACAGGATGGCTATTATCAATTTCTTTAAAAGAAAAAAAAAGAGGAAAGTAACGAAGTGGTGATGAAGAAGATGTAGAGAAATTTAAACCCTCATGCACTGCTGGTAGGAATGTGAAATAGTACAGCTGCTGTGGGAACAGCCTGATGGCTCTTCAAAAGGTTAAACAAAGAATTACCGTAAGATCCAGCAATTTCACTCCTAGGTATACACTCAAAACAACTGAAAGCTTGTACTCAGACACAAACTCGACACCAATGCTCACCAAAGTATTCTTCACAATAGCCAAAAACTGGCAACAATCCAAATGTCTATCAACAGATGAATGCACAAAATGTGGACTGTGTGTATATACAATGGAATGTTACTCAGGCTTAAAAAGGAAGGAAACTCTGATACATGCTATAATGTGGGTGAATCTTGAAAACATTATAAAATAAGACATAAAAAGACAAATACTGTACGAATCTACTTAGATGAGGTTCCTAGAACAGGCAAATTTACAGAGACAGAAAGTAAAACAGAGGTCACTGGAGTTGGGGGAATGGGGAGTTATTGTTTAATGGATACAGAATTGATGTTTGGGATGATGGAAAACCTCAGGAAATGGGTAGTGGTGATGGTTGCACAAAACTATGAATGTACTTAACGCTAATAAAGTGTGCACTTAAAAATGGTTAAAATGGTAAATTTCATGTTACATATATTTTACCACAATAAGAAAAAATTTTAAAGCAATACCACATGCAATAATAATCCCAAACATGAAACACTTAGGGGTAAATTCAACAAAATATAAATACTAAAAGCTACAAAACATTTCAGAGAGAAATAAAATACCTATATGAATGGAGAGGTGTACCAAGTACACAGTTTGGAAACCTCAACACTGTTTAGATGCTTATTCTTTCAAAATTGATCTATAGATTCAGAATCCCAGCATGATATTTTTATAGCATTAGAGAAGCTGACTTTCAAACAAATGAAAAGCCAAAGGACCTAGGGAAGCTAAAAACAATCTTGAAAAAGGACAAATTTGTATGACTCTCATGACATGATTTTAAGACTTGCTATAAAGCTACGGTAGTCATGATACATGGTATTGGTAATATGGATGAAAACACACATCACTAGAACATAAAAGAGTCCATATCTATGGTCAGATGACTTTCAATGAAGTTACCAATGTAATTCAACAGGGAAAGGATAGTCTTGTCAATAAATGATGCTGGAATAATCACATGGGAAAAAAATGAACCTTGATCTTTACCTCATACTACATTAAAAAAAATTAGCTGAAAATCTATGACAGACCTCAGCATAAAATTATAACACTTTTAGAAAAAAACACAGAAGAGAATCATTATCTTGGGGTAGGCAAAAATTTCTTAGACAAAAAGTACTAACTGTAAAAGAAAAATTTTAAAATTGTACTTAAATCAAAGTTAGAAATTTCTGCTCTTTGGAAGATACTGTTAAGAAAACAAAAAGCCAAGCCACAGACTGGGAGAAAGTATTTATAATCCACATACCTGACCAAGGACTTGTAATCAGACTATGTAGAAAACTTCCAAACTAATAAGAAGACAAATAAGCCTTCAAAAAATAGACAAAGTATTTCAACAGACACTTCACAAAAGAAGACATAGGAATAACCAATAGGCATATTAAAAGATGTTCAACATCATTTGTCATTAGGGAAATGGAAATTAAAACCACTTGAGACACCACTACACACCTACTAGAATGGCTGTAATTCAAAGGACTGAATACCAAATGTTACCGAGGATGTGGATACATACATTGATGGTGGGCATGTCAGTGGTACAGTCACCTCAGAAGACAGCTGGGCAGTTTCTTAAGTTTAACATACATCTTCCAGCAATTCTTCTCTTAGGTAGCTACCCAAGAAAAATGAAAACATGTGCACACAAAGACTTGTACATGAATGTTCGTAGTGGTATTCACAGTAGCCAAAAAGTGAAAATAACCATCAAGAAGTGAATGTTTAAAAATGGAATACTACTTAGCAGTAATAGGGAACAAATTACTGATACAATAACATGGATGAATCTCAAAAACATTCTGCTGAGCAAGAAAATCCAGACCAAAAAAAGAGTCCACATGGTAGGATTTCACTTATATGAAATTCTTGAAGAGACAAACTAATCTGGAGTGACAGAAAGCAGATCAGTGACGGCCGGGGCCAGGAGCATGTGGGTAGGTTGGCTGTAAAGGGAAATGAGGGACTTTTTAGGGTGATGGAAGTGTTCAGCATCTTGATTATTACACTGGTTACATAATGTATATATTTGTTAAAATGCATCCGAACATACACTTAAAATAAATGTTTTATTATACATATTAAATTTCAATAAAGGTGATTTTCTAAAAATAGCAATGCAGAGCTTTCCAACCAGGGAGGCAAAGGGTTTCTGAAATATGTCTCACTTGGGCAGAGGATGGGGGGATGGTAGTGGAGGGGGGTCTGCCTGGAGCCTGCAGCCTCCTCTCTTCCCCTCAGGGTACCACACCTACACTGTCATTTTCTCTGGGTGCTAGAACATGAAAGCTGGAAAGCAATGACCTAAGAATGTTCCAAAGTAGATCCCAACCCTGTTGAAACACTGGAATAAAAATCCTATACCTTAAGCACACTTATCAGTTTCTCTCTTGGTGCCTTCTCTCTCTTTAGGAAGCCATACAAGTAGATATGAGCATTTGGATTGGATGGGAACTTCTCATCATAGGCGTAATTGGTGAGCACCTCTCGGGCTCCATCTTGATCCCCATAGAACTCCAGCATCTATACACAGTAAGTCATAGCATCTTAGTTAAATTCTGTAAGATAGCTGTAAATACAACGCACAACTTTCCAGACGAGCACAAAACACTCATACAACTGGGAAGCAGTATTTACTGTACGGGGAACAACAGTGAAGCTGGCTGTTGCTTTCGCCAGTAGATGTCACAACCTTTATGGAACACAGACAATAAAGGCCTACACTGTTTCCCATTTTTTTTCCTCATCATATTTTGTTCCTGAAAAATGCAAAAACTTGAAGGTTAAGAACTGTTCTACAAGAAATAAAGCTTTTAAAGTAGGGCACACTAACGACTGAAAAAAGACTATATGATGCAACTAACCTCAGTGCCCTACATAACTCCAGCCACACAAGGGGTGCACAGGAATTATAACCCCTTCCTTTTCATTCCTTCTCAGCCTGACACAGGAATTTCCAGATTCACTGACATATAGTTTCAGAGATTACCTTCTGACAACACAATTATCACTTTAGCACTAATAATACTTTCAAAAAGCAAATTATTTTGATGATTTATTCCTAGTGCCCAGTTCTAGGGCGTCTGTCCTTTCACAATGACTCTGAGATAACAGGACATCTTTAAGAACTTCCAAAAGCCATTCTTTATCTCAGATATTGTGACCTAGCTCCAGATTTTTGTTCCTTTTGCCTCTATATTCCACCAAATCACAAAAGATCTTTTTCTTTTAAGCTCAATAAGAACATAAAATTGACATTTACAGCTATTTTGTTAACAATTTTGTAAATACAGTCAGGCGCCCTGCATCATCCGTGGGCCCTGCATCCCTGGTTGCCGCATCCTAGGGTTCAACCAACCACAAATTGAAAATATTTGGGAAAAAAATTTCCAGTGAGTTCCAAAATGCAAAATTTGAATATGCTTGCTGTGCAGACAACTATTTACATAGCATTTACACTGTATTACATTGTAAAGATGATTTAAAGTATACAGGAGGATGTGCAGCCGTTATATGCAAATATCACACCATTTTATACAAGGGACTTGAGCATCCACAGATACTGAGGGATGACTGTATTTGGCCAAGACATGTTATCCAGGTGAAAAAAACAAATATTTATAGTATATTGGTAAAATAAAATATACTGTAAATTGGTAAAACAAAAATTATTCAGATCAAAAAGGCATCATATTCCTTTTTTATTTTTTAAACAATTTTCTCCATTAATTGCCTTCTAATCATTAAGCTTACAACAGAATGAAACTAGTAAAACTTCATGAAAAGTCTACTTACCTCTACATAACTCTTCACAAAAGGGTCCCAAACTCCAGGAATTTGAATCAGTGCACAAAGGTTTATAGACGTCTTCCAGCTGTGGTTGAGCATATTCTGGGATGCTGTATTATAAGCATAATCATCTTCATCTGCCCAAAGACAAAAGATTTTTCAAAGTCCTTCAGTATTGAGGACTTCTGAATCAGTAATCAACAAACTATCGACAAAGAAGCTCAGACCCTGACGGTTTCACTGGTGAATTCTAACAAACATTTAAAGAATAGTACTAATTCTTTACAAACTCTCTCTCCCAAAAAAGAGCAGAAAAGAGCACTTCTCACCGTATTCTATGAGGTTGGTATTACCCTGATACCAAAACCAGACAAAGACAACATAGGAAAATTGTGGACCAATATCCCTTATAAATATAGATGCAGAAATCCTCAACAAAATACTCTGAAATTGAATCCAGCACCATATAAAAAGGATTTTACGCCATGCCAAAGTGGGGTTTATTCCAGGAATGCAAGGTTGTTTAACACCTGAAATCAATTAATACTCCAAATCAATAGAATAATATTAATGACAAAAACCTCCTAACGACCTCAACTGCTGCAGAAAAAGCATCTCACAAAATTCAACCCTTTATGATAAAACACTCAACATCTAGGAATGGAAGGAACTTCTTCAGCCTGGGAATCTTATGAAAAGCCCACAACTAACATTAGAATTGATGGCGAAAGACTGAATCCAAGAGAGAGGCCCTCTCTGGCCACTTCTATTCAACACTGTCACGGAGGTTCTAGCCAGGCAACTGGCAAGAAAATAATTCAAACAATGTCCAGGCTGGAAAAGAATAAGTAAAACTATCTCTATTTACAGATCTCTATATGATCTTGTACATAAAAAACCCTAAGAATCCACCAAAAACTTATTAGAACTAACAAATGAATTGACAGTTGCATAATATAAAATCAACACACAATAGTAGATTTTATGCCTATATTTCCAATCAACAATCCGAAAATGAAATTAGGAAAATAATGCCATTTACAATAGCATCAAAAACAATAAACTACTTGGGTACAAATTTAACGAAAGAGACATAAAATTATACTCTGAAAAGCAATATTGTTCAAAGAGATTAAAGCCGACCTAAATAAAAGGAAAGACATCTCATGTTCCTGGGTTGAGAGACTTATTAATCTATAGCTTTAATGAACTTCCTACCAAAATCTCAGCTCGCTTTTTTGCATAAATTGACCAGCTGATCCTATAATCCATATGGAAATGCAAGGGACCAAGAATATCTAGAACAGTCTCTAAAAAGAACAAATTTGGAGGAGTCACACTATGACTTCAAAAGTTACTGCAAGACTACAGTAACCAAGACTGCATGATATGGCCATAATTGTAGACAGACATAGATCAATGGGAGAGAATTTACTGCCTATAAATAAAACTTCATATATGAGCAAGTGATTTTTGATAAGGGTACCAAGACAATTCAGTAGGAAAATAATAGCCTTTTCAAGAAACATGCTGGAACAACTGAACAGCCACAAAATAACAAAGTTGAGTTCAACTCCTACCTATCTCACATGATATACAAAAATTAACTCAAAATGAATCAAAAAACCAAAATGCAAGAGTAAAGCTTTATAACCCTTAGAAGAAAACATAAGTCTAAATCTTTGTGATCTTGCAGTAGGCAATGATTTCTTGCCTTTGCCAAAAGCATAAGCAACAAAAGAAAAAACAAATAAATTGAATTTCATCAAAATTAAAAACTTTTGAGACACAAAAAACACCATTAAGAAAGTGAAAAAGGTAACCCGCAGAATAGAAGAAAATATTTGCAAATCCCCTATCTATTTAATAAGGGTCTCACACCTAGAATATACAAAGAACTCTAATAACTCAATAATAAAAAAAACTAATTCAATTAAAATAGGAGAAAAGGATCTGAATGCAAAGTTTTCCAAAGAAAATATACAAATGGTACATTAAACACATGAAAAGATGCTCAACAATGCAAAGCAAAACCACAGTAAAATACTACTTCACACTCACTAGGATACTATTATCAAAGATAGATAACAGCAAGTGCTGGCAAGGATATGGAGAAATTAGTAGCCTCATACACTACTGGTGGGAATGGAAAATGGCACAGCTGCTTTGAAAACCAGTCTGGTGGTCCTTCAGAAGTTCACAGAAACATTATTCAAAATAGCCAAAAAGTGGAAACCACCCAAATGTCTATCAACTGATGAATGAATACATAAATATGGTATATCCACACAGTGGAACGTAATTCAGCAACAAAAAGGAATGAAGTGTCACTACATGCTACAACCTAAGTGAACCTTTAAAACACTAGGCTAAGTGAAAGAAGTCAGTAACAAAAGACCACATATTTCAGGACTCCATTTGTATGGACTATCCTACAGAATAGACAGCTCTCTCAAGACAGAAAGTAGATTAGTGGCTGCCTAGGACTGGAGCGACTGGGGAGAATCACGAGTGACTTTCTTTTCGGGGTGATGAAAATGTTCTAAAATTGATTATGGTAATGGATGCACAACTCTGTGAATATACTACAAAGCACTGAATTGCACACTTTAAGTGGGTGAATTGTATTAAGACTCATATCTCAATTCTCAATAAAGTTCTCATAAAAAAATATGAAAGATTACCACACCCAATAAATTGGTGTGACATGAAAAATCTGACAATAACAAACAATGAGGAGAAGACAGACAAAAGAAAGCCCTAATCAGACAACTAGTGGGATATAAATTGGTAACCACTTTGGAAAGAGGTCAGCCTACTATATGCTAAATTGCAGATACACATACTCTATGATAATTCCAGTCCTAGAAATACATGCATATGTGTAGCGCTACACATGCCCAGGAATTTCAAAGCAGTGTTATTTATAGTAGCCCCAAACTATGAACAACTTGAATGGCCATTAATATATAAAAGGAATAACTTGCATGAATATCATATAAGTCTTACAGCAATAAAAGTGAACGAGAGCTAATTCAACTGTACAGACGCACATTAGATGCTGAACAAAACATGCAAGGCCCCAAAGAATATATACTGTATAAATACAATTTGACACTCAGTTATAAATTACATTGTTTACAGATGCATACTTGAGTGGTAAAAGTCCTTTAAAAGCAAGGGGGTAATTACCACTGAAGTTGGACAATGGTTTTCTTGAGACAGAATGAGAGGAAGTGTGATCAGAAAGGAACACAGGGGAATGTTTAGGGGGACAGCAATGTTGTGCTCCTCAGTCTGGGTGGCAGTTATATGGATGTTTGTTTCACATATTCAATCCATCACACATTTGTTTTATAAGACTTTTTCGGTATATGTTATATTTCACAATCTTAAAGGTTTAAAAGGAAAGTTACAGTCTTTCAAAAGCAACAGCTAACAGAAGCACAAAACACTTTTTGGTACCAATGCTGCTTTTTCACCACACCCCCTCCCCCCCAAAAAATAGGGCTTGGTATTCTCTTCCTAGTGGATCAACTGAATAAGGATCAATATGAACTTGGAAATGAAGTGGTAACGGGAAAGTAGGTACGAAATATCGAAAATTAATTTTAAAGGAAGAAAAGGCAGATCCCTAAGTAAATATTAAGTTGGGTTTGAATTTACATGGAAGGGAGTTTCCAGTCACCAAGTGCATCAAGCCCAACCAGCACAGGCCAGGCAGCAAGGAAAAAACCCCAAGACAACTCTGAGAGTACATTCATGTGTCATGTTCTTAGGAGTCTGGCTGTACAGAACCCGTCCGAGCTATTTTTCTCATTAAATAGACACATGAGGTTAAAGATCATCTAAAGAGCTCCATATATTGTCCCGCCTTCACTCTCTCTGCTACAGAACAGTGTCAGCTGCAGAAGTGACTGAGTCATCTCCACGGGAGTGATGGTGTAAAGGCCATGTTCCAACTGCTTTCATCTCAAATATCGGCTTGAGTTCTACTTAACAACATGTAAGAAGAAAAGTAAATATTGATGTTAAAACTTACCTAAATCAGTATCAGCAAGCCTTTTAAAAAAGAAACATTACAGCAAGCATTATGGCAAAGATAACAGAAGAAATAGAGGACAGATGTGTGACCTCAAAAGACCAATGCGTCTAGGCGAGAAGATACAACATAAAATACATGTGAGAACACTCAGAAAAATTACAAAGCAAGAGGTGAAGAGCCAAATGACGCAGGCTGAATACGCAGCTGGTACGTTAGGTTGGAGGTAAAAGAATGAGGGGTCTGAGTCTTGAAGGGCAGGTGGCGTTTTAGAGGAAGAGGGCGCACAAAGGTCTTACAAGAGCATCGTGATGAAGACAGCATTTCAGAAGTGTTTAGGGGGAGATCACAGACAGGAAGCAAGAAGGGAATTTTGAGATTAGTGAACCCATGTGCCCAGTGACCAAGGAAATACTACTATCACATAAGAAATAATAAGGAAACACTGCCTAACAAAAATGACGTGATAAATGTCAGATTGACATTTGGGTAGAGGACGTGAAAATAGAAAGGACTTGATCCTAGAGAAGTTGTAAAACTACACGAGGGAAAGAAAAGTGCAGAGAATCATACAGCTCCAAGGAACACACATTTAGGGACAGGTGAGGATGACATCACCACGGAATGTAAGAGAAGGGGAAGTCAGTTTGAGGAGTAAGAACACATGGTCAATTTTGAGGGGGGTCAGTAAATCAAGAAAATTGTCTGTTATGACCTTTGTACAGAAATGAAACAACTTAATCTTGCTCTATTCTTTAAACATATTTTTCTAAGAGGCAAAGTTATGAAACAAACTAAACTCCACTCTAAACACACAGGAAGAAGTGCTTATTATATGTAATAATGCCTGCTGAAGAAAATATGTAACCTTTCCTGGAAATCATGTTTAAAAAAAGCAATGAATCTAAAATGGTCATGAACTTAATCTGTGAACCACCTAATTTATGTCTGAAAAGTTTTTTTAAATATCAGAAATCTACAAGATGATCAAGAGTTTTACAGCAACAGAAATGTCTGGATAAAGCCAGGCATGGAGGTAGGGGCATCAGATTACTCCTTAAGATTCCTTTTGTCCCTCTGACTCAGTCTTAACCACCATAAGAAAATTCACTCGTATTCACTCACCGAGCTGAGACAATTCCATCTTCTTTTTAGACCAAGTATAATACTGCAAAAGCCCTTTATAAGCCTGAATAAGGTTGATTAACACTTCCTTGGAAGACGACTTTTCACCGTATCTCCACGTCTCCGCCTGGCTGAGATTTCTGTTCGCATCCTCAAGCAACCCATGGTGCAGAAGGTATAATGCATGCTGTAAGGAGATCTGCCACAATGATGAGAAAAGCCCACCGTCACACAGGTCACAAGAGAAACATCAGTCAAAAAGCTCAGGAAATGTATGACATATGCAGGGCCAAGACCTTGGGAAAACACAAATGACGGAACACAAAATTTCCATCTAGCAAAAAGACACTTGAAAAAATTATCATTATGTAAACAAGAGCTAAATTGTATAAACTTGAAACAGAAAGTGGTATGAAAAGATCAGGTCTTTGACGACAGAGAGTCCGGGCTCAAACGCTACCTTTAAAGCTAGATAAACCTGAGTAAGTTGCTCTCACCCTTTGTGAGTCTCATCTTTTATACAGAACAATTATTATTAGCCCCTTTAAAGGGCATTACAAGGATTAATGAGATATTGCATATCACCTAATGGCTCATTTGGCCTACAGTAGGCAACCAATAAATTATTTTATACATGTTATATAAACTCAGAGAAGACATCTTAGTAAGGGGTGCTGAAGAATGACATTGGTTCACATGGAAAGTGTATCCCTGGTACAGGAGAAGCAGTAAGATTACACAAAGAATGAGCATTATGGGGCGGGGCATTAAGGATACTAACGGCAAGTGCAGTTAATCACGTGAGGGGAGTCGGAGTTCAAGCTTTCACCTTAAACTATTGCAATCATTTCTTAACTGTTATCTCCAATCCTGCCCCCTACAATCCATCTTCCATATGATTGCCAAAGAGATCTTGTTAGTCATTTGTGTAAATCCTTCAACAGTTGCACTGCCTACAGAATAAAAATCTAAGCTCCTTACACATGGCACACACAGCTCAGCTTCCTTCCCCTGGCTTCCACCCAAGCGATTCTTAGAGTACCTAAAGCATGAGGCACAGAGCTATCAAGTTCTTTATTATCCCCTGCCACGCCAGACTACACTCTCCCCCAGTACGCAGAGTGAATACCCACCACCATTTCAGACTCATCTCAAGCATCGTTTCCTTTCCTTTCCTGACTCCTCTGCTCATTCAATCCCAGCCCTTATCAGTTCCAGAGAGCTGACCATTTTCTACTTGGTCTTCTCGCTGCACATCCCATTTCTTCCACGGCACCATCTCCACTTACTCCATTAACACATCTGTCCTCCTCTACCACAAGCTTCATGTCCAGCACGTAGTCTGGAGACCAGCAGTCAGTGTTTTTAAAATTATTAACAAAAAAATGTTTTATTGCCCATCCTAATCACTACCCTCAGACTCTGGAGTACGAAATAAGGTGTCTCTCAAGTTTCTTTACTTCAACTAAGTAGATTGTATGAGCCTAAAAGGATCTAACCAATAATTTAGTAAAAACTCTACCTCCCCTCCCCAATCAAATGGCTATCCAGTTTCTCCCTGAACGGACAGAAGGGGGAGCCCACAACACCAAGGCAGGCCACTCCTTTTCCCGATTGTTCACTTAGAAAGTTCTTCCTTGGGGGGACCATATGCTGCTTCCACTTCGTTTCTACTTACCATGTACGTGGTCTACCAGGAAATGGGAGCATGAGGGAGAATCAGGCACATGAGAAGAAACAAAAGATTTCTCCTAAATTAATTAATAAAATCTGAAAAGAATCCTAAACTAGGAAAAATCCTTTTTCATAATTAGAAAGCAGTGGCAATGTAAAACAGTAGAGCCACTGTGGAAAACAGTTCGGAGAGTCCTAAAAAGTTACACATGGAATTATCTGTGTTTAACAGCAACGTCCTCCTGTCCCCACAGGGAACTACAGCCAATAGCTTGTAATTACCTATAATGGAAAAAATACGAAAAAGAATATTCATGGGTAACTGAATCCCTATGCTGTACGCTAGAAACTAACACAACACTGTAAATCAACTAAACTTCAATAAAAAAGAATTATATGAAGGGGTAGAGGGTATAGCTCAGGGGTAGAGCACATGCTTAGCATGCACAACGTCCTGGGTTCGACCCCCAGTACCTCCTCTAAAAAATAAACAAATAAATAAATAAAGCTAATTACCTCACCCCACCAAAAAAAAAGAATTGTATGCTTATACATATTATATACATATACACAATATGCATATATATATACACACATACACACACATATGCATGTGACATAGAACATGACCCAGCAATTCTATTCCTAGGTATATATTCAAAAGAAATGAAAGCAGGGACTCAGACAGACAGTTGTACACCTATGTTCATTGCATTTTTATTCACAATAGCCAAAAGGTGGAAACAATCAAACAAGGGATGAAAGGATAAACAAAATGTGATAGATACGCACAAGAGAATATTATTCAGCCATGAAGAGAAGAAGTCTGACACATGCCACAACATGGATACATCCTGAAAACATTATGCTAAGTGAAATACCCAAAACATAAAAGGGACAGATACTATGATTTCACTTTTATGAAATATCTAGAATGGGCAAACTTGTAGAGACAGAAAACAGACCAGAGGTGCCCAGTGGCTGGGAGGAGGAGGAACTGGGGAGTTATTGCTTAATGGGTCCAGAGTTTCTGTTTGGGGTGATGGAAAAGTTTTGGAAATACTGGTGATAGTTGCACAACACCGTGATTGTAATTAATATCATTGAATTACACACTTACAAATGGTTATAATGCCACATTCTATGTTATATATATCTTACAATAATTTTCAAATATTTGGAAAATAGGAAAAGTAAAAATAAAACAAAATGAGAACCAGAGGGTAAATAAATATTTCAGGCTTTTCTTTCTTTCAGCTTCTCTCATTCATCCAGGTGTCTTACCTCCTTCCCCCTTGTTTACCTACCTTATCACTGAGACACGTAATTTTAAAAAGTGAGCACTGCAAATGTAAGTTCACAAAGCCTACGATCTCACCTTCAAGTAATTCATGACACCAATATTTTTCATCCGGTCTGCAAAGGTATTGAAAGTCTCCAGGCTGCTTTTGGGGTGATAATACAGAATTTCACTTCCAAGCCTCCAAATAATCTGTCAAAACAGAAATTACTAACAAAAATGTAAAATCTTCACCTTAGCCACTGTCTAAGAAAGTTAATTTTTTTCTGATTACAACATTAAAAACAACTTATAATTCCTTCTCCTAGATACCACAACTGCCAACAATGTACTGTACTTCACCCAGTGAAACTAATGTGTTTTATGTGATAAAAAAGATCTTTCTTTGATTAAGTTAAAATACCAGGTAACTATAATAGTGTCATTTTTAACCTAGTATTCTAAAGAAGGTAGGCAGTTAAGATACATATTAACGAACAGAATTTTAGCTGCCATAGGATGAAGAATATTCAAGTCAGAAAACTCAGATTCTATTATTATTGGCTTTTTCACCACTCTCGGCCTCATCTTTGTTATCTACCAAATGAGAGCTCCAGACTCAATGTTTCCCAAGATGCCATCAAGCTCTATGACTACAGACTGTAGCTGGTCTATATTCAGAACTCCAATTTAAGAATTCTCGTCAGCTATCAACAAAGCTCAATAAAACTATTTTCTTCCCAGAGCACCAAAACTTTGGTGACAGAATTTGGAGATCTTCTTTTTCATGGGAATGAATCTCTTATTTCTCTTACTCCAATTTAAAGTACTTCAATAATATTGACTTTCAAGTAAATTTAAGTGAATTTTAAATTAGTTCTTTCTCTGAAAATCAATAAAGTACACATTAGTTGTTTGCTATCATCATAATATTCATCTTTCCAAGTCAGAAATGAGAACAAGATTTCACATATAGAACGCCAAACTGCACTATTTGGAAGCTTAAAAAAAATGTGCAGACTATCCTATCACACTAGTTCTTAAATATAGTTGTATGTAAGAATTACCTTGGACACCAGTTAAAAATAAATATTCTAGGGATGTCAACTTTGATTGATTCAGTAGATCTGGAGTGGAGCACAAGAATCTGTATTTTCAACAAAACCCCTATGTGATACAAACAGAGCCCAAATTAAGTGTCTAGAAACCACTGATCTACTTCTTTCATTTTAAAAAAACAAACTCTGGACAAAAAGAGACTGCAACTTGTCCAGTGTTTTACAGATCTACATAACTTTAAGTCCGTAAACTATTTAATCAATGGTTAATTGTTTTCTTTCATATTGTTGGGCTCTATTAAGATGCCTAACTGATACAGTGGTTACTCCATTAGTCAAAGCTACTTGAGACAGTCATGTGAAGTTCTGTGTGGATAAACTGTCTTTTACAGAACAAATTTAACAATATATGCCAGGCACTGCTCCAGATCCCTGCCCTTGTGGAATTCATGTTCTGTTGTAAAGAGACAGACAATAAACCAAGAAAAAGAATAATTAAATTGGCAAATATTATGGGGGGGATGAAGCAGGATAAGGGAATCAGGATTGCCACGTGGAAGGTGAAGGGGGCTGGTGCACAGTTGGGATTCTGAACAGTCATGAAAGTGTGACTTGAAGGAGGGTGGCCATAGTGATAGCTGAAGAAAGACCTTTTCAAGTAAAATAGCAAAGGCAATCAGGAAGGAGTAAGGCTGGCTGTTTAAGAAAGAGCATGGAGACCAATAAAGCTGGAGAAGAAAAAGTAACTTGGAGAGTAACAGCAGATGAGGTCAAAGGGGGAAAGGGAGTGAGCAGAGCATGGAGAACTTGTAGGGAAAGACAAGGACTTGGCTCTTACTCTGAATGAAACGGGAAGCCACTGCAGTGTTTTCAGCAGAGGATTGACATGATGTGACTTATGTTTTAAATGGACTGTGCTGCATCATTAATCATTAGGAAAATGCAAATCAAAACCACAACTGAGACACCACTTCACAACCACTAGGATGGCTATGATCAAAAAGACAGACAACAACAATGTTGGCAAGGATGTAGGGAAACTGGAACCCTCACACATCGCTGGTGGGAATGCAAAACGGTGTGGTCATTTTGGAAAGCAGTCTAGTAGTTCCTTAAGAAATTAAATATATTTACCATATGCCTCAGCAATTCCACTCCTAGGTATATACCCAAAAGAAATTACAAACACCCATACAAAAACTTATACATGAATGTTCACAGCAGCATTATTCATAGTAACCAAAAAGTAGAAACAACACCATGTGTAAAAGCTGATGAATGGATACATAAAATGAGAGATAGCCATACGCTGGAATATTAGTTTGCAATAAAAAAGAATGAAGTACGAACATGCTACAAAATGGATAAACCTTGAAAACATATGTTCAGTGAAAGAATTCATTCACAAAAGGCCATATATTACATTTCACTTTAATGAAATGTCTGGAATAGAAATTGGTGATTGCCAGAGTCTAGGGGATGAAAAGGAGTCACTACAAGTGGGTACAGGGTTTCTTTTTTTGGGTGGGAACAAAAATGTTCTAAATTCAGATTGTGGTAATGGTGGCACATCCCTGTGAATATATGAAAAAACACTGAATTGTACAATGTAAATGAGTGAGTTGTATGGTGTGTCAACTGTATCTCAATAAAATTATTTTTTTTAAAGGTATCAGTCTGGTCATTATACTCAAAATAGACTTAGGGGCAGAGGAGGGCAAGCAGTCTTCTAAGTGAGATGACAGTGGCTTGAATCAAAGCACAGCAATGGAGGTGGTGAGATATACTCAGACTGCAGGAAGCATACTTTCAAAGTAGAGCCAGCAGGATTTTCTGATGGCTTGGATATGGGATAGAAAAGAAAAATGACTCCAGAGTTTGGCTCTCACGATTAAGTACATAAAGTAGCATCACCTGAGATGAGGGAAATTGGGCTGGACAGGGAATATCAGAAGACCCATTTTAGGTATGTCAGTATGACGTCACATTTCATACTAGTTGATATGCAATACCAAGAGGTGACGCTGAGCAGAGTTGGACGTAGGAATGAGGACTTGAAGAGAGATGTCAGGGCCACAGAGACAGATGGGGATCATCGGCATAGAGACTGAATTTAAGGCTGTGAAACTGAATGAGATCGTCAAGAGTGAGTTCAGATAAAGACAACAACTAAGGACTGGAGTTCTCAGGTCTTCCCACGTCAAAGGGCCAAGGAGAAGAGGAACCATCAAAGATGGCCGAGAAATAGCCAGTGAGGGAGGAGGAAAAACAGAGAGTTCAGTGATCACACAGGAGGGAGTGACCTACCACGTTTAATACTGCTGACAGACTAAGTTAGCCGAGCACTGACCATCAGCCACTGGATTCAGCAGACATCACTGCTGACCTTGACAAAGCAGTTTAGTAGAAATGGTGGTGGTTGGGGGTGGGGGGGAGCCTAACTGGCGAGGGCTTGGAACAAACAGGTGAATACAACCCTTTCTAGGAGTTTTCCTGAAAGGGAGAGTGGAAAAATGAGGAACAGTCTGTGGAAGAAGTAGGGGGTCAAGAGATGTCATTAAGGGAGGGAGGGTAACAGCTCAGTAGTAGAGCACATGCTTAGCATGCATGAGGTCCTGGGTTCAATTCTCAGTACCTCCACTAAAAATAAAAATAATAATAATAATAAAATAAAAAGATGGTGTAAAGTGGAAGAAATAACAACATGTTTGTATGAAGACGGGAAATACTCTACAGTGGGGGGAAAATTATGACAAGGGGAAAGAATTATTTAAATGAATGATTAAATATTGGGAAATCTGAGAATTCAAACTATTTTTTTTGGAGAGAGGAGGTAATTAGGTTTATTTATTTGACGGAGGTACTGGGGATTGAACCCAGGACCTTCTGCATGTTAAGCAGGCAGTCTACCACTGAGCTATACCCTCCTCCCCTCCAAACTATTTTTAGTCACTTTTAAAATGATAAGAGAAAAAAGAAATATGCAAAAAGTGTCCTGATACCAACTCTCCACCCCAAACTACTTTTAGCAGCTTTCGGTAAAATCAATTTGAGAACAGCAAAAGCTATCCTGGGTGGAGCTCAAGAGGCAGAATCTCTCAGGATTCTGTCACTTCTTCCAGCAGACTCACACTTTACTTACCTCGGGCGCGCCCTGCCTTTTGTTGCTATCTGAATCTTCCAAGATCTGCAAGTAACTGTGCATGTATTCCGCAGCTTGCTGCCACTGGTGCTTCAGCAGAGCTTCTTGGATAAAACTTAAACAAGCACTTGTTGTCTGAGCAAAATCCTTCTCCCTCTTTCCTCCAGTTGCTATAAAGGTTAAAGAGAAGAGTCTTGACTCGCAGAGACCCCAGTTCAACAATTCCAGAAGCTTACTTCTGATAAGCATAGTTTTCACAAGCAGATTAGGAGTAATCCAGCTCAGCCCAATATCAAAGCTGGCAACACTTGAAACAAACTCTTCCATGCCATTTTAACTAGTTTTAGCAAATGAAACAAATGTTTAATTAGGAGATGTCTAATTGGATGTTCTAGGGCTACCAAGGTCATCAGATCCTTCAAATCTGATTCAACTGTCTTTTCATCCTTGCACTAAACAATCTGGGAAGACTCTCTCAAAGACGCCCCCAAACACAGTCCCGGGTATTTAGAATGGGTAAGAATCACAAGGGTCATCCTAGGGAAGCTTGGTCTTTTTTACCTACCAATGTTCTGAGAACACCAAAGGTGAGCTTTTATTTTTTATGGACAGAGTTTCCAGTAAGGCAATGACAGTAAAGGCAAATGAGACTATAACAACTGTAGACACTAGCATTTATATCTCCAAAGTATTGACAATCCTCATGTTAAGAATATTTGGGCTTAGTTAAAACCCCATTATGAGTAACAAGTGGCGTATTCCCACCTCTTCTTCCCTTCCCACACCACTACGAGATCCCTACAGGCCCAGGCCCGCAGTCTTCCAGCTGGGTACCCTCACCCTGGGGAGCACACAGAGACTAAAGGTACCACACAAAGCCAGTTTTACAGCAATCAGCCAGCAGATCTTCAACTTTCTGACACACTCTTTCCGACATACTCTTTCCTAAAATTGATCTGCTAGAAAATGGTGCCTATGTCAAGACTTCATGACAAAATCATTCTACATTACTTTAAGGTGAAAATACAGGTACTTAGTGTTGAGAAAGAGAACGAATCTAACACATCCATTTGAAAGTCAGGTGATTTCCAATTCATCACTTATCAAAACTGTAGAAGAACCTAATAACTTTTGTAACAGACCACTATGTAATTTTTTCATAAACAATTCAGAAGGAATTCAAAGACCTGATACATTGCTATAATTAAACTCCATCCATTGCCAGCTACTTACTTATGTGACTAAAGTCTCTCAGAATTCCTACCAATTAAAACAAAATACAATAGGGAGGAGGGTATAGCTCAGTGGTGGTTAGCATGCACAAGGTCCTAGGTTCAATCCCCAGTACCTCCATTAAAAAACAAAACATATAATAGAATTGAAGCTAAATCTTTTCTCATTTTAGAAATACATAATAATCATTCATAAATATAAGAAATGGAAAAAAGTGGAAACCTTATCTACCAAGACAAATAAGCAATAAAAATTTACTTTTAGTATTTAAAATTTAACAAAAACTTTAATACTTATGTTATTTTGAACAGCTGTGTACAACTATCAATAATAAAGATGTCTCAATCCAGAAGAAATTTTAATACTTTTAATACTTAAGGTTTTAACCTTACAGGATATTATGGTTAAAAAATAATCAAATGTAGATACATAGTTTATGGCAAGAATAAACGTATAAAAGAAAGGAACAATGTAAAATTCCTATCTATTAAAAGCTTTTCCATAAATACTAAATGGCTAGTGAAAGGTATCACATTACTACACTATTTAGATTCCACCAAATATATTTTTAAAAGTCACATAATAATTTCAATTAAAAGTGTCAATATATGTTGAAAATTATGCCTTTTGCAACTAACAGACTTAGGATACCATTTTTAGATGGCACCTTAAGAGTCTGCATGATAATACCTAATTTTTCAGGGGTAAAAAAAAAAGGGTGGACGACTATTGCATTGACCAGTGCTGCTTCTCAAATTTTTCTAATTGTACATACAAATCACCTGGGGATCCTGGTGCTTGCAACTCACTGCGGTCCTAGAGCCAGCATCCTTAGTATCACCAGGAACTTACTAGAAATGCAGAATACTATACGCCACCCACCTCTCTGAATTAGAAGCTGCATTTGATAAGATCTGTTCCCAGGATCAGCAGCACTAGGCAGCTAGTCCAGGAAACTGACAAAATTCCTCTTCCCTAAAACCTCATTCATTCACTTGAAGGCCAAACTCCCTTCTACCCTCCTAGTTTTCACAGCACAGACTGGAAATTGACTTTAGACTACTATATATAAATCCTTAGAAAATTCCCCTCCTGTCTTCCAACTGAGCCTAATTACCTCAGGAATAGCTCTCATTTCATTCTTTTGAGAGCAAAAGATAATTTTACTGGTAGCTGATCAACTTTAAGAACAACTGTCAAGGAAAATAAATTTTGATAGAATGAGTTACAATAAAGAACCAGCTATCATCGACTTAATTTCTAATGCTCTTGAAAGAATCTGGAAACTTGACCACCTATGAAATACTTTTTTGAGCTCTACCATGCTCCAAGCATTATTCTAGGTATTCAGCATAACAGCTTTATTCCAGATTGGTGCCTGCCTTCAAATTTTCTGCTCTAGGGGGCACACCCTTCAAAATGCCAAAATAAATCTAAGAGAATAAAAAATAAATAATTGTTAGGCAACTGTGTTTTCCTATTATGGTTAATTACCACTTATACCAATTATAATGTCAATATTACCTGCAACTATATTCTCATTGCAGACATTAAGTATTTGGAGTTTAACAGGCTATCCGTAACATACAAAACATTTCTAAGCATGTCAATTCTGGTTTTAAATCTACTTGTCTGTGGACAGACTCAAGCTCTGTATAGAACAGTGGTGACAGAAACATGCCCAGCTATGCTGTAACCAGCAGGAACTCTAGATTACTAGTTTCCTACAAGGGTAAAGGAGCATTCCCTCTGAAGTGCCATCCATTCAAACCTGGCTCAAACTATGTACGCTGATCCAGCAAAAATAAAATGAGGAAAGAGAAAATAAATTATTATTTTTTCAACATTCACTATGCTTGAGGCTCTATGCTAGGCACTTTACATACAGTATCCCTTTTCATATATATCTCTACCTCAATGTAGGCTTTGAGGTCAGATAGACCTGGGTTTGACTCCTGATACCAGCATTTTGAGTTTTAACTTCAAAATTCAGTTCCCTCATCTTTAAAATGCCTAGCACAAGATTTACCAAGGATTAATTTACTGAGATAATTAAATGAGACGACATTTAGATTCAAAGATAAAGAAACAGGAGCTAAATTCTAGGAGCTAGGGAATCTCAATCAAGGGGAAGGGAGGCCAGGCTAAGAAAGATATATTTACAGGCAATTAGATAAGTGCTGGTTCAATGTATTCCCAGGCCTATTCCACCCAACATGCCAGCATACAGGTAACTGCTTCTTTTATATATTCTTACAGGGAATTTATCCCATAGAAAAGCTTGCTTATTTCTACATTACATGAAAATAGGAGAAAATACTCTTTTTTTGAAATCTGTTATAGATCTATTAGAAGTTATTTCAATGCACTTCAACAGAAACTTCTCGTATATACTCCTCAATGGCAGAGACCATAACTTCTTCAACTGTGTATCCCCAATATTCAACCAATATCAGTGATATAGTAAATACTTAGGATTACTGAAAAAAAAGTGTATCTACCATAATATGACTGTCATTAATTAAAAGGAAAATAACTCTAAAAGAAAAAAAGAATCTATGTTTTGTGATTTCTTTTTTATTAACAGTCTAAAACAAAAAACCCTCATATAGTCTTATCTTGAAACTTAAACCAGCTTGGTTATCCATTTTTGTACCCATATTGAATCTTATCATCTCCTTTCATTAAAGCTGAAATGGTTGCATGTTATTTTACTTACCCACAGTTTCTATATGCTTTTGGAGCCAAGGAAAACACATTCCTGTACCAGAGAGCACACACGTTTCCCCCTGTTCATCTTCTGTCGTGGGCCTTACCAATTCTTCACTGAAATCACTCATACCTATTCCAAACTGAGAATATCAGTTACTTTCTGTACATCTTAATCCACAGGCTTCTGAGTTATAAAGAAAAAGTCATCTTTTATCCAATGAATATCAAAGATCAACAAAATTAATTGTACCTAGCAGTTCCTTTAAAGAAAACAAATTTAATTATGTCAGCAGTAGCTGAAATGAATGACTCATTAAAAAAGAGAACTATAATGACTAATATATTTCAAAAAGATATAAAAATACTAATGCTTCAATTTAAAAAACTCATCTAGAGGAACAAACAGCAAATGATGTATAATACCAAAACAGCATAAGTACAATAATAAGAATAATGGTAGTTAACATTTATTGGGCCCTTTCCATACACCAGGCCTATACAGTATCTAACTTAATCATTACAGAAATCCAGAGGTAAGTACCATTATTTTCATCCATTTTCATGCTGAAAAAAACCGAAGGGCTCAGTGCAATTATGTATTCTGGCCCAATGTCACAGAAAAGGTGAGGAAAATATTCTAGGAACTAGAACACCAAACACGGTTGGAATGAACAGAGTTTGTGTGTGGTGGAGGGGGACGCAATGCAGAACTGATAGAGGGAAAATAATCTACAAAAACAGCCCTGTGCCAAGGTGAGTTTGGACTTAATCATCAAGATGCTCAGGGTCCCCCCTCTCTTCTTTCATACATCCAATTGATTATTAGGTCCTGTTGGTACCGCCTGCTAGTAATTCTCCCATCTTCCTCTCCTCCGCCACTCTACACCACTCCCCGAGCTCGGGACACTTTCAAACTGTGTCTGGATTACTGCGTTCGCTTTCTAACTCGTTACCCTGCCTCAAATGTGGCTTCTCCACATTACAGCCCGAGTAAACCTTTCAAAATCAAATTCTGTGGTTAGGAGCATGGGTTTGAAATAACACCTGAATCTGAACCCAACTCACACGTATTTAAAGGAGTCATTCCAGAAGAAGCCCCCGACCTTCCTTCCCCAAATCTCCAAGACTGAACTGGTGCCGTGCAGTTGTCACGGTAACCAAAGCTGCTTCTCCAGCTTCGCGCTCAGAACTCGAGGTTTCAGAGCATCAGCAGAAAATATGAGAAGAACACGGGTGAATCCTAGCACAGCCCTGCCCGTTCCACTGAGACGCAGGCAATGACTGATGGACGACAAACGCTGGACTTACCTGACAAAAGCCGGAGCTCTTCAGTGACACTAAACTCCACTCTCTCCGCACTCCAGACCAGCGTGACCAAACTCTCGGAAGCGGAGTCCGCGAGCTAACGCTTGGAGAGAACTTGCGCAAAATCTCCCTCTGGCTTTCCCCCGGCGCGCAGACGCGGGCGTTCAGGCGGCGCGCAGGCGTGGCCCCGCCCCTAACTCCCGATTGGGTGCTGGAGGCGCCTCGACCCCGGAAGTGACCCGGAAGTGGCCGTGGACTGCCGCCTTCTCATCGAATTGGACCCAGGTTTCTCTTGTATTCTGTCTCAGCCGAAAAGTGGGAGATTTTAATTGCAAAGGGAGACTAGTGCAAGGGAAGGAAGGCTGGATTAGGGTGACAGTCAAAAAAGCAGAATGTCACTTTGCCCTAGTAATTCACTGTAAGATGACCTTCACGTTACTGCCTGGCTCGCGGGCGCAGGGCGCAACCCTCAGAGGCTTGGCTCGCGGTTCTGACAAGATAAATCTTTGTTTAGCCTTTTAATTGCTTCCTTGAAGTCTTTTCTCTTTTATTAAAGGTTTAGCTTTTAATTTAAGGGACTCTGACTGTCCCGCCCAAATTTCGGCAAGAATACTTTTCTTCTTAGCGGGGTGGTTCTGTGGACCTGTCTGGGGTCACTTTTCATGAGGAACGTTGACGAACTTACGAAATAAGGGCCGAAAGTAAGATGGTTAAATGTGAAATGAAGGGAAATTGAGGGGCTCTAGGGGTGATGACCCTGGAAAAGCAGAGACTCGTGGGAACACAGTATCTCCAAAATTTGGAGGGCTGATGTGTGTGAAAGAAGGGTCAGACTTTTCGTAGCATCAGAGAATGGAACTAGGACTAAGTAGTGAAAGTTAAACTGAGGCAGCTTTAAAGTCATTACAAGTATTTTGTTCATAACTAAGGCTTCACAAATAATGGCATAGGCTTCCACAGGAATCTTGAGTGGCCCCTGCCCTGAAAGTGAACCATTTGAGCAGAATCACAGTATTGTAGAGGTGATTAAAGGGTCTAGGGAGAGTTTGTAGAGGGATTCCTTAAAATGCTGAAATACTTAGTACTATGTTGTCTTCATAAATACTACGTAGTAGCTATGAGCTTGTGAGAAGAATTCTCCTGCTGTTCTTTGGGTCGTAAATCCTTGGCCTCAATCAAGTCAGTGCACTAACTCCGCAGGTAAGGTTGACCAAAATGACATTGTAGTCCAGGAGGAATGCACACACAGAATAACACAGCCACACGTTTCTAGTGTAAAGATTTTGGTCTGGCTATATTTTTTCCTTTGCTGTGAGGTATAATTTCACCCAAACCAACCTAGATTGGATTTAATCTGGCTAGAAATTCATGCTCCCACAAAAATGGGGAAGAAATTTCTGATTTACCTTAATGTTCTCAGTCAACACTTGTCAACATTAGATAAAACAGAGAAAGTTAAGAATTAATATCCTCATATGCTCTACCTACTTCTTCCCATGGTGTAATTCTGGTAGAAAATGTGTTGGGGAGAAGAGAGTAAAAAGAAAACTATACTATATCACACCCAAGAGCATAAATCAGATTCTAAAAAAGAAAACATGACAAAAATGCAAATGTAAAACAAAGCAAAGCATACAGAAGACTTCTAGACTCCAATCTAGGAGAAAACATCTTAAGGAACAGAAAGATTGCATTGTGCTAAAGAGCAACTTAATATGATGAATTACATTTTTTAAGAACTGCAAACTGTTCCCACAACGCTTCAGTTGCTCCCATGAACACTTTATTAGAGTTCCTGCAATCTAATAAAGAACAAGCTTCAGACACTCCAGAAAACTGGAAAGATCAGATCTACCTGAAAATTCTCTAGAGAAGTCATTTCTTACATCTCATTAAGATGAACTTCACCAGGTTTTCACAGGCTGGATTTGACCTGTGGACTATCATTGGCCAACAGTTTCTCTAGAGTACCACTTAATGTACCAATTAATGTTTATGTTCACAACAGAGATTTAGATTTAGTTTGGATACATATATGCATACATACATACAATTTTAAAGATACGTGATCTTTTTAGTGATGATTTTTGTGTCTAAAAAGATATTTACTAAAAAATAATTACTGATATCATCATACGTCTCAATCACTATGATAGTCACTCACTCTGTATTGCTTATCCTGGGTACTTTAACATACAACTGGTAGGTGTTAATGCTGCAGACTTTTTGCTAGTCCATTGCTGATCTATTTTGCTATTCTGTTGTGGAGAAGCCTGGTTAGAATGGGTAAATGGGATCAATCATCATGAAGATGATGTATATTTACTTAATTATAATTATTATCCTAATGATTCTACATACTGCATCTCAACCTATAGCCCCCTAAGTTTTAATTGAGAAACATGGTCTTTTGTTAAGAATAAGGGGGGAAAAATCCCTCTCTATCCATTCCAAGTAATTTCAAAATATATGCACAGTTTGAGTACTAAACACCAAAAAAAGCCATATAATTCATTCAGATCTAAATTTAAGATAAGATAGTGCAAAAGAGAGAACAAATGTGGGAATGTGGAAGTAGAACAATATAAGACCCTTCTAAGAGGAGGGAAAATACAAATTCAGAAGTGTGATGCACTTAGTAAGTTAGTATTAGCTTTAATGACCAAAAAAAAAACCCTATAAAGCAAAGTTACTTGGATCTACAGGGATTTTTTTTAAGGTTGATGTTATAACTTTTCTCTTTTAGCTGATAAGAGAAACTATGGAATAGGAATATTTACAGTCACAGGTGCTTTGTTAAACGATCTCAAGCAGTACATCTCATCTGGGAAGTTGGTACCATTTCTACCCAGGAGAGTTTGGAAATGCATGGGGGCAGTTTTTATTTTATCATGACTAAGGATGGTACTAAAATTTCATGGCCAGGGCTAGGGTTGTTGTATATCCTGCAACTGGTAGGAATGCTCCCCCCCAAATGCCAACAGAGCTCTAGTGAGAAACATTTGCCTAAACAAGTAACATGCTCTGATTCCTTACTTAACTGCAACTTTTCCGTACAATTCAACCTAAAAGAATAAGGGCTCTTGTGCAAATTGTTTTATTACCCATTTAAATGTCATTCTTGGTTTCCTTATGTTTGTCAAGAATAGTAAATGTGTTTAAGACAATTATAAGATATAAATAATAACAAAGAGATAAAAATCTCAACTTCTGATTACAAACAAAAAATTGGATGTTTCCAGACAAAAATAAATAAAAACCTCCCCCCACCAAAATAAAAAATAATTAAATGCAATAATTAATAAATGAAATATTTTCTCACAAAAAGAAGGGAACAGTTTCCAGGGCAGGTACTATCAAAAAATATCTCCTTTGTGATGAAGTCATCGGTTTGCTGAGACTCTTGTACCATCAACCACCCCTATTGTCTGTAGGAGTCTGGGATTTGGCTGTTTATTTAAACAACATAAATGGGCAACATTTTAATATGCTATCCCATTGCCTCTTATAGAAACAGTATGAAGTTTTACCGTTAGCCCCAATGTTACAGACAAGGAATCTGAGACTCAGAAAAGTTAGCAACTTGCCTAGGGTCTCACAATTAGACTTCTGACACCTAGTTTAGTGCTTTTGACTACATTATCTGCCTCTGCTATTGTTCTAGTAAGGAAGTAATTCCTATCTGAAAACTGTAAATAGATATAGCCAAACAGTCTACATGGTGGAAATTGTGTTGTATAAGCCCCACCCTGGAATTTGTTCTGTATTTGTTCAAAGCACCAAATATTTGACTTCTGTGAAAAACAGTGCCAAGGTAAATTAGGCAGAACCGGAAACAGGAACTTCTATATAAGCCTATGTACTACTGACGATTTCAGATGTTTGAGTTCCTTGTTTAGTAGAAACTGGAATAATATTTGTCAGGACTAGACAAATAATACCTGCTGATAGAAGACCTTGCCTTGTATGACTCACTCAGAAGAAAACATACACTTTGACATGACTTTGACATGGCTTTTTAATTGTAGGGAAAGGATTTAACTCTACTGGTCATACCCAACACAAATCTTCATTCTCCTTGGCTTTCAGAACAGGATACATGCTTATATTCCACTGTAGCTGTATGATTCCTTAAAGTCTGATGGCTTTCTGTTTTTCACTCTTAAGTCTAAATTCTTGTGCTGATCAATAATCTTTCATAATCTGACCTACCCTCGCCACCCAAGTTTATCTCCCACTACTCTTTACTGAAATCTCCAATTATAATTGTGGATTTGTGCAGTTCTCCCTTAAGTTCTGTTTTGAAGCTTTCTTATTCAGATAAACAATGAAAATTGTTACATCCCCTTGATGAGTGGACTTCTTTAAGATTATAAAATCACTTCCTTTACCCCTGGTAATATTCTTTGTTGTGAAATCTGCTTTGTCTGATAATATGGCTACTCCAGCTTCCTTTTGATTAGCCTTAGTTTGATTCATCTTTTTTTTTTAAATTTAACCTATTCATGCCTTTATATTTAAATGTGGGTTTCTTGTGGTAAGCGTATAGTTGAGTCTTGCTTTTTAAAAATTGAATCTGAAAATCTATGCCTTTTAATGTGGGTGTTTAGACCATTTAAATTTAATGTGATTATTGATGAGATTAGGTTTAAATCTATGGTCTTGCTATTTGCTTTCTATTTGTCTCATCTGTTCTTTGTTGTCCTTTCCTCTTTTCCTGTCTTCCTTTGGATTAATTGAGAATGTGTCATCTCCTTTGTTGGCTTACTAGCTGTAACTCTTTGTGGCTCTGTTGTTATAGAGTTCACAATACACATCTTTAACTTATTACAGTATACCTTCATGTGATATTTTATCACTTGCCTATGGTTTTAGGTCTTTACAACAGTATACTTCCATTATTCTTCTCCTTTTATGTTACTGTAGTCATACATTTCACTTGTACATATGTTATAAACATCACAGTACAGTTTTATTATTTTTGCTTTAAACAGTTAATTATCTTTTAAAGGCTTTTTTAAAAAGAAAAATCATTTTATATTTTATGTATTTTTTTAAATATTTGCCCACATACATACGTTTCCTGTATTTTTCATTCTTTTATGTAGATTCAGATTTTCATCTGTTTTTTTTTTCCCTGCCAAAAG